TTACCTAACCCCCTGCCAAAATTTAAAAAAAAATAGTAAATAATACAACAACAAATAAATAAAATATAAAAAAAATGAAATGTACAAAAAAAAAAGAAGTAAAGAAACAATGAAGAAATAGTGAAGGAACCAAACATAGCAGTGGGCTTTAGCTGAGTCTTTCTTTTTAGAAATAGAAGAGTTAGAATCACATTTCCTTATTCCAAGTCTCCTACCACAAATTCAGTCTGAGCATGAAATTACTTGTGCTGCAGTCTGCACCCCTGCCCCACAGCATACAGCCCTCAGCACTTTTCTAGCTACAAACGGAGTTTCCTTAAATCATTTCTGTCATAGTGATGGAGGGAAACTATGCCCTTTGTTTATTATCACGCAAAAATGAAAAGCTTTTGGGGTCCTCTATAGGCATTGCTGAAAGTGAACGTAGCGCAGAAGTTAAATTCCAGCCGTATTAAAATATACAAAGATAATGAGGTCTTGATTGCATTTCAGGCAGTTAATTATTTTTTGGATTTTTCTTAAATGGCAACCTTTTTGGGAAATTAGGACACCAAATACCTAAGACTACCAATTGGAAAGGATACATGAAACAAAGCCAGCAATGGTAAACAGTATTGAAATCACTTATAAAATAGGTTGTTTAAAAATGACAGGTCTGAAAGCTTCCTCTGAAGGTAAGTGGATCCGGACTTTGCCAAATCAAATGGTAAAGAACATTTTGCCTTGTAGTTTCATGCTCTCTAATCAAGAGGTCTGAGCTCTATTCATAGCAGTTCAAAGTCTGTGATGATGCAGGAGGAAGGATGTAAACCATGCATTTGAAAAGACCCCTTATGTACTTCTGAGGCATTAGAAATCGGTCATTGCTTTGAATTACATTTGATAGCAAAAGATGCAAAATACAAAACTTCTGAACTGTATGTTCCTTCCCATTGCTGTGTATTTAAATGAAGACAGCTGAGAAACTCCTAACTTGGACCTTGCTGGAGGGAATACATGAACACAGAGGAAGTGAAGTAGGGAGGAGGATGGGAAGATGTATAGAAAGGTTAATCTGAGCTCTTTTTGATTTCCCTATTTCTTGAGAAAGAAAAAAAAAAGCATGTTAATCAGAAAACATGAAAATAGAGAGGAAGGAATTTAGAAAACTAAACTTGTCAAAATCATTTTTCCAGGTGGATATTTTGGTTGGCCTTCAGGTGAATGTTCAAATGCCAACCCCTTCCCTGCCCCATGAAAAGTCTCGAAGTAGGTTAACCTCTTTCCCAGCCACCAGCTTATCTCTTCTCTCCTAAATCCCTAGAGAACCCACTGAGTGTCAGGATAGGTGCAGAGTTTCTCATCAGAGATATTTAATGCATCAGAATGACTCTTTGTTTTCCTTCTCTGATTTCTTCCTATATTCAAAAATTGCTTGCTCTGTAACAGCTCAGTTAAATCGCACAAAATCAGTATAAATTTGTATATAACCCCACTCCATTTTTTTGCACTTTTACTTGTTGTAACTTTACAGGTCAATTAGAAGTCTGAAAATCAAGTTTTATTTCTAATGGAGCACACTTGGACCCAAGTCCTATCATCAAGACTTCCCATCTTGTGCTAATCTACCTTTTTACTTATTGTCAGCCTATCTGTCAGTACAGTTTATGTACAAAGTGTGTATGGGTCTATGTATCAGTTGTGAATTGTGGCCGGTTCTGGGTTGCAGCTGTCTTGTTCTAGGTCCCTGACTCCAACTGTCCCACTCCCTTTCATTGCACCAATAAGGCTTGAAATGGTCTCTGAGAATGTGACCCACTTAGGGGTATTTCTCTTTGGTGTTTTCAGGCTCTCTGCTTGTACCTTTTGGCCTCTATCCACTCCCCTACTTCTCAGAAAACCATTACAAAGATGACATCGACATCATTACCACACAGTGTGACCAGAATTACAAAGGAAGAATGATTGAGGCAAGTCCCCTTTTGGTAATGTTGCAGGAGAGGCAGAGTGGAGGGGCAGAATTACAAATGGGAACAGCACCACAGATGAAAAATCATTAGATTATTTTTGCATATGTGGAATTTTGGGTTTTGTTTTGATTTTCAGCTCCTTCTGAAAGCAATGAAATCTTTTTTTTTCCAATCAGAGAAACTTACTGTCCTCTTATGGATAACATGATACTAGAGCTGCTACCTTCTCTTGTCAGAGATCAGCTTAAGCTCCATGCTGTCTTTTCCATCTAAATTTCTCTCTGATGCCCTGGTTACTCCATGGAACCCCAGGTCTCTAGGAACACAGCTTGGAAACAAAAAACAGGTCAGTCAAACATCCAGAATTTTCTGGCCCCCTTTTTTTTTTTCCTGCTCAATCTAGGTAGAGTCAAAAGTACCTTTGACCTCATAAATAATGATAATATTTAAAGGTTAATTTGGCAAAACCTGACACATGCAGGCCTGCGTGCATGCCTGAGTCATGTCTTCCTGCTGAGTTCTGGGAGCCTTTTCTATCAGTACTTCTCATTTATATTCAAAATATACGAACTTACATTCTATTGATTATTATCTCTTAATTTCTCTCTTCTGTTCCAGACTAGAAACATCTAAAGAACAGGAACTACATTTTATACTTGGTGCAGGATTTAGCATTTACTAAACTCTGTGCTTGGCTTGTTTCTGTTGATGGTAATGATTATAACTCTCAGATTCTGAAAAAAAAATGTTTGGAAAAAATTAAGAGTTTAACTGAAGTATGTTCCTGTTCCCCTCAGCTGGACTCATGGTTAGCGGGCTTCTTCCTGACTAAGCCTTGATCTCCCTTTTCTTAGAGCATTTACTTTGGAAAATTTATCATTGTATAATTTTTTCTGCCCCTTTGATCTGGAAATTATTTTAAAAGGCAGTTTTACAACCTAAGACTCTCTCAAGGACCTAGGAACCACCCCTTTGAAATGTAATTATCCTAGAAGCTAGAGCCGCATCTTCCAGCTTCTGTGCCATTAGAACCCTAACTCCCACAGAGCACCTTGCTCTAAGTTGCAAATTATCTCTGTCGTGAAAATGTGAGAGAGTCACTTTTCCTTTGGGCAAGGACAGTTAGCAAACATGGATGATCTGTGATTCTCCCCACCCATCTCTCCCTTCCCTCATCTCTTGAAAACTCTCTAGCCCTTTGTTTCAGTGAAATTGAGCTCAGACTGAGTTTGGCCTCTCTGCCTTAACCTTCCTTATCTGTTTCACTTTGCCCAGTGCAAGTTTGGCTTTGGCACAGACTTCTACTTAACAGCAAAAGCAAATGTTCCTCTGCTCAAACTTAACTTGCCATAATCATATGAAACTATATCAGAGAGATGAACAGGATGTTTAGAAAATATGTTTTCCTCCCCAAGGAAAACTTCTTTTGCTGTTAGTGATGGCAAACAAACAAACAAACAAAACTGGAGAAAGCAGTCTCAATAAAACTGACAAAAAGCTGAAATGAACAAGTTACACTTGTGGACTCTGTGTACATACATTGATCAGCTTTCTGCAAAACATTGAGCCGGCTCTTTAGATGCATATATCTTTGTATGAAATTGCCTTTAGACCCCACAGTAACTTTTGCCGGCCACAAGGGTGCTCTTAAGTGCACTGAAGTTATATCTTACTGCCTATTAATAGACTCTAAACATTATGCTCCTTTCTTCTTGGTAAAAAAAAAAAAAAGAATTTAAGTCATCCAGATTTAGAGGTAAGAAGAGGCTCATATGAGCCCTTTCTGTACCTTTCCTTTCAGCTGGACTGCCTACTCCAGGCTCTGCCCTCAGGGCAGCACCAGAGCATACGCCTGACTCTCCATCCTGAATTCACCTAGAGTGAGTTAAGGAAAGCAGAATTAGCCCCAGGAAATATAAGGAAGTAAACCAGTTTCATAACATTTTAGGCTGAAAATGATCTTTGTGGTTAGAGAGTCCCATCCTTTCATTTTGGAGGTGAAGAAAATACGGACTTTCTTAGAGTCACGAAATAAGCTAATGATAGAAATGAGAGTGGAAATTAGGAATCACAGAATCCTAGTCGACTACTTTTCATTATTCTCTGTTTCTGGTGTTTTTCTTCTGTTTTTGGCATTTGTTCCAATGTCATTTGTTTCTGTGTTTCCATGCTATCTTACATAGATTCCATGAATTCATCCACCCTGATTTTATGGTCTGTATGAGTCACTTCTGTATGAGTCAGTGTGATGACTGTGTATGTTATAAAAAGAAAGGTACAGGGAAATATTACATAGAAAATCATGAATGATGTTTGGTGGTGTTTCTTTCTGCAGAGTGGATATTTTTTGCTCTGGGATAGAGTATTTCCTTCATGCCTTTATCCCCCACCCCCAATGTTATTGTTGTTACAGATAGAAAGCTTTGACATCCAAATTCAGTGATGAATACGGTTCAAGTAAAAGGCAAAGTGCAGTATCTGAACAAAGTGCAGTATCTGAACAACAATGACTTCAATATACAACTTATAAGAAGGTGACAAAATATATTTCCATTTTTTCATATATTTCAGCCTCCAGTGTCATTAATAAACTAATATCTTATCTTCATACTTTAATAATACTGCATTGATTCTGAAGTGTATAGGCTGTCTCTATACTCAGCTTCCATGTGAATTTAATGTCATTGTAGTTTCCTATGTTTTCTGCCTCTCCAGTCTAACTCCTGGAATCTTCAAAATATTACTCCCTTTCGAGGTATCTGATATTCCCACAGGGCTATTCTTTGAACAGATAGAAGCTTAGGGTGGAATTGACCTTTTAGCAGATCTTTCATTTTTATGTTTGTTAGCAAGTTGTATATTTTGAGTGCTACCTTTCGAAGATTTTTAAGGCTGTGGATCCATTTTGTAGTTTTCTTCCCCTACATAGAATGCCCCTTTTCTAGAAAGGGACAAGTGACTCTATTTAACATTATACATTAGAAAAATCTGTATGAAATATTTAAAACATTTATAATGAGTCTCAATGGTATCGAATGTTATGGAAGAGAGTAGTAGGACACATATTGAAAAATGTTAGAATGTATAAATGAAAAGAAAAAATGGGAGCACGAGAAATAGGGATAGAAACACAGGAAGGCAGAGAAATGAAGTCCATTTATTTTGTTACTTTATGTTACTCATATCATTACTTAGAGTTTTACTTTAAAATTATGTTAAATATTGATATGATTATTCTTTGCTAGTATATAAAACATAATTGATTTTAATATATTCATCATGTATTTTGTAGTTATTCTTAATTATTCATTCTAATAGTGTTTTACATTTTACAAAGGTTTATTCACATAGACAAATACCTATGAGTAAGGAGAGATTTGTTTCTTTCTTTCCAATTTGGAAATGAAATCCAATTTCCAATCATCCAATTTGGGATGAGTTTTGTCTCTTTTTTTAGGTTACTTTCCTCAGTTATACTTCCAGTATAATATGGAACAGATAAGTTGAGAGTGAACATTTTCATCTTGCCACTTGCTTAAGAAGAAAGCACTGATCTTTCATCACTGAGTATTCTGTTATCTGTAGGTTTTTCTGCAGGTGCTCTTTGCCAGATAAAAACTCTTCCTTCTATTCCTAATTTGCTAAGTTTATTTTTCCCTCTTCGGGGATGGTTGTGAGATTTTTGTCATCTGCTCTTTTCTGCATTTATTGAGATGATCATATGTTTTTTCTTACATTGTTAATATGGTGAATTACACTGGTTGATTTTTTTTAATATTAAGTCAACCCTGTATTCTCAGGATAAATTTGACTAGTACAGACATGGACGTTATATCACTGTCAAGGGAGCTCAAATAAAAGGCTTCTATGGTTTTACGGACTTGCGGTGAGGATGGGGGCTGGGAGAGGAGGGAGGACTAAGATTGGAAATATAGTGGTACTGAGTCAGAAAAGGGTAAAGTGGCTTCTTCGAGGTTACTCCCTCCTCTTCCTGACAAGGAGGGCTGAAGAAGACCTCAGCAGAAGACCCAGCTAGAGAGACCTAGTAATGAAGGCACTTGAATTAGTAATGCAAATATTCTTAAAAGCATAGCCTGGCAGGGGATCCAGAATCCTTGACTGCAACTCTTTTCAGAGACTCACTGCACTAGCTCTGCACCAAGTCTGGTGTGGGGAAGGCACATTCCCTAGTACCTGCTAGGTAAAGACTTTGTAATTGCTTATGCTTGGCCTGAAAGATCACTCACAGGTTTTTGGGCACGAGCCAGATTCCTTAGGTAATAGTCCATATGCTTTTGAAATGTGTATGTTGATTAGGTGAAGGTGGTTGATATGTGATTCAAGTCTTTGGTATCCTTACTGAGAACCCAGAGCTCTGGAGTTTCACCTATGTATAATCACTCATGCTCAATTGACTGAGAAATTATGTAAAAATGTCCCATTTTATGAGAAATACCAGTACCATAAAAATTTCCATATGTAAAGAAAGTCTTGACTATTGTTTATGACTGATAGATTTCTTGAATACTTCTAGGATGAAATAAAATTTCATCTTTTAGTCACACAAATTTGTCAAGCAAACTATAATTTATTAATATTAGTGATGACATACTGAGCAGAGTTCTCATAGTACTTTATAACCTCTTCTTCAGAAAAATGAAATATATTGAGAAGCTATATTAGCTCTTTAAAAACTTCAGACTATCAGTTTTTATATTTTCCAGTTTGGCTAAAGCAATTTCTTTCTTTTTAAAAAATAAATATCCATTTGAAATCAATTATATTTTTATATTGAGCTATTTAACACATGGTATACGGACATGGAAGATTAATTATACTGCAAAATAGAAGAAAACCATTAATTATTATCTAAAAGAAAGTATAACCAAATAATAAAGATTACTTGGAATTTTGACACATTAATTTAGAAAAATAAACGGTGAAAATCATTACTGCTATAAATCTTTAACTCTTAACTCAAGTAATTTCAAAAT